ATATATTTCAGTACGTTGATTAGCAAGCTATTTGAAAAATCCGTACTTCACATCTCTTACACAGACTGATTTAAAACTCCCCAGCTAGACATATCTCCATTCCATCTAGTGTTCTATCAAATGGACACTACAAATGATGGGCAAATGGCTTGCTGTCATGAAGTGTTCACTCTGCTTTTCACACGGCGACAATGACATTTTTATTTTAATACTTACACAATAGATAGTAAACTTTGGCGCGATGGCGTTTAGATGGATCTCAACAGCCCTTTAGCTGTGTTAGTGCCTTCTCTCTTGCCAAGCCGTGGCTGTATGCTAAGCTGCTGGGTGCTGTGTTACATAATCCCCCGCATTCATTTTCTCCACCTGTTTAGCTTGAATACATACAAGGTGACTGCAATGTCCTTTCAAACCTCCTTCTCACCACAAACATCAGGGACGGAAAATAAAATCGAGGTTCAGTTGCCTTTTTTTTTTTTTTTCCAGTGGAGGTTTTAGAGAATTCAATCAACTCAGAAATGTATTTTGTCACTATCTGGTTCTGCCCTTTTGGTTATGTTGACTGTCAGCCCAATATGGTTTTCAAGGTGATAAGAATATGCTTGAGTCTCAGCTACTGGAACAAATTAAGATAGGTCAGGGTCCTGGGAGAAAAAGAACCTCCAATGTGAGGGTGTGCAACAGGATGATTTTCCAAAAGTCCTTCTCCGTCTCATTCCTAGACTTTATTGGCTCTGAGAGGGTGGGGCGTGCACTGTCAGGTCGCTCCTCCCAGAACTCATGAAGATTAAATCCCATGAACCGAAGCTGAAATAAATTTGTTAATCTAGAATATGGTTTTGGAGAAGACCCCACAGTGTCCCTTGTTTTTAATGGACACCTGCTGGGATGAGAAATCTGGGCAGTTGGGATGATGTCATTCTTGATCCCCAGCTCTGGCCCAGGGAAGAGGTAAACTGAAGGAATGCACCATTTAGTGGTGAAATCAGAGAGGCTGTGAACTCTTCGACAATCTTTATTAGATACTTGCAATGGAAGACACTTGGCTACATACCATTTTCTTTGGAATATTAGTATATATAAGCATGTGATTTGCATAGACAATGCAAATTCTCGTTGTATATAATTTATTTATTTATTATGGGCATTTTGTTTTCTGTGGCAATGGTACCATTTGTTTTTCTTTGTGTGGCTTTCTAGATTAAAAAAAATCTTTTGTTTTAAATATATTCAGAATGCACAGAGGAAAAAGAAACATTTCTTTTAGTAAGCATGTGTGGTTAACCTTGGGGGAGAGGAGTTGGTTTATAGCTCACTTTACCTAGTGTCAGTTTGGTTTCCAAGTCCACAGCTCTGCCAGCCTTAGGAGAGTCAATTGGAAGCCCATAGCTATTCTGAATAACAGTCACAGGGGCAGGTAAAGATGAGAGGTCCTTCAAGTCCTGATTACCATATCCTGTGTCATCTTGGGCACCCACTTATTCCTTTGCATCAGTTTCTTCCTTACTGAAATAAAGGCATTAAATCAGACAATCCCTAAAAAAAACTCACAAATTGAAATTTTATTAGTTTGATGGATTCTTTCAATTATATGAAAAATATTAAGCACAGTCTAGCACATTAAATAATATCTTGATACCTTGCTGGTTTGTGTCAAGGCTTTCACCTTTGAAGGGTCCTCCATGATTAAAATAAGCTTTGCTTTGCTCTCTCTGCTCATTCATCCCAGTTCAGGGGGCACAGTGATTAACTTAGGTTTTCAGAGACGATGCCCGTTGGTACCAGGGACCACACAGCAGCTGTGCTTGTCCCTCTCTGGAGAGAAAGTACAGAGTTGTGACAAGTGCGTGTGGCTGTCATCTATTCTAAATCAGAGACATTCCCAGGTCTTTTGTTTAGTTGTACTTTAACACACATGCCTCTCCACAAATGAGAGGAGATACTATGATAGTAGATAGGGCACAAGAGGATTAGACTGAGTATATTTCAAACACACAGACACTGTCAAGTTTCAGCTTCCTGCTTTCTGAGGCTACTTTTGAGAAAATGTACCAGATATAAATATGTGCCAAGTGTTACTTGTTTGCTTATTACACACACACACACACACACACGAATAGACATACACACATATGAATGGGCATACACATGTATGGATGGACACACATGCATACATATAGACGAACACACATATGTATGAATGGACACACATGCACACATATGGATTAGCACACATATATGGATGGAAACATGCACACATATACTTACTACAATTTAGCCATCTATAGGTTGGCAGGTACCTTTGCTTATGACTGTAAGTGTACACGACTGTGTAACATATGGAAGAAGCTTCATTTCTTTGATAACTCTTGAGGATTTGTAATTTGAATTCTTGCTTGAACAGCATTGGTGCTGTGATGTTATGATTAATTTAACTTGTTATCTGTAGCGGCTTTTGTCTTCCAACATAATAAGAGTGACTGCTGCACTTCATTTTATTATGATTTGAAAATATGTGTTTTATTTTGCTTAAGTAATTTGTGTAGAACTGATGTGGTTGATAGGAATCATAGCTAAGGTAAATTTAGCTTTGGTTTGTAAGGTTGAAATGTAGGTTAGCGAAGAGAAAATAAAATTTCCCTAGCCACAGTTTGTAGCCCCCCATCTTTACATTGAAACTGCATATCTAGATGTATCTAATTGCTAATTTTCTTTCATTAATTAAGTTCTTTTAAGTAGCAGCTGACAGAGCCTGATATGAAATGCTACATCCAGAGTGTGCCTAACAAGAAGGCACAAAGAGGTTCACACGAAATTGTGAATCAAATAAACCACAAATTAATCAAATTAGCTGTATGTCATTCTCTTAACTTAAAAAGCACACTTTGTAGCTACCTGGAAGTCCAGGCTCCAATTTAGAATTTTTGACTCCTTAGGAAACAGTGATACAGGGAGAATAGGCACCCGGCTGGTTCTGAGCCCACGGCCTTCCCTAATTCTCTTCCCACGTTCAGCTTTGTCGTTCATTGCAAGGTCTCTAGGATTAATGCCCGTGGATGCCCCAGTCCACGCAGCAAGCTTTGTCTACCGATCTGTAGACATCAACACCATGTTTTACTTTCAGAAGACAATGGATCCAGATCAGATGCTTCCTCAGACAGGCTTTGGATAAGGAATTTTAAGCTGCCAATATCAGTGGTCTCGAAAGAGTACATCGATTACACAGGAATCCTACCCTGGCCTTGTCATCCTTGGGGTGGTGGTGGATATGACTGTGTCAAGAGCAAGTTCCAATCAGGAAGGGGTGATCTGAGATGAAACCTCTTACCTGCCCAGAGCACAAGGCCTCTTTGCTTGAGTCTAAGGGTTGCGTTGCTTCTGGTCAAAGCTTATTACCATATTTCATGCTCTGCTCTTTTCCTCACCTGACCTTCTCTAGCCCAATTTTCTACTTAAAATCCTTTCATATTTCTTTACCACAGAAACCACAATTAGCTAGGTTTCTGATGCACAGAAACCAAAACCAAATCTATTCGGGTAATTGATTTCAAGTTATTATTTAATAAAATTTACCACAAGCTAAGGAGTCCTTTGTTTAAATAGGACCATTAATTATCTATTCTGAACCAGATTTTTTGCAAGCGTTTAAATACCATTCCTGATGCAGATAATGGGAGCCCCACTTGAACATTTTGAATAAATTTTCTCCACAGGTTTTTCTTCCAGAACATTTGAAGGAAAGACAGTCCGCTCCTTTGAAATGTTTTGTTTGTTTTCTACTTTTCTACTGTTGTATGAACATAGTTTCTCTGTAGTCAGTTTTCCTATTTTCCATAGTTCAGTAGGAGCTGCCTAAAGTAGAATCTTGCCTGCCAAGGCATGACCACTTTGTCTTTTTCTTCACCTACAGCTCGAGAGGAGAACGTGGCCACTTTCCGAGGCTCAGAGTACCTGTGCTATGACCTGTCTCAGAACCCCATCCAGAGCAGCAGTGACGAAATCACCCTCTCCTTTAAGACCTGGCAACGCAATGGGCTCATTCTACATACGGGCAAGTCGGCCGACTATGTTAACCTAGCTCTGAAGGATGGCGCGGTCTCCTTGGTCATTAACCTGGGGTCCGGGGCCTTTGAGGCTATTGTGGAGCCCGTGAACGGGAAATTCAACGACAACGCCTGGCATGATGTCAAAGTGACACGCAATCTCCGGCAGGTAATGGCCGGGGGACAGCGAGGCTAGAAAGCCCATCTTAGGCAGACACTTTGTGGGGTAGGGGGACTGGTGAGGTGTCGAAGGCTAGGGATTTGGATGTAGACACGTGAAAGCCTAACTCTCTCCAAGTTTTTGCAATTTCACAAGGAAAACCGATTCCACTATTTTTCTCCGTATTCTTTAATTCCCCATTTGTGCTTGTTATTTAAGAAAAAAAAAATGACAGTTGTATAGATAATAAAAATGATAAGTACTTCCATCCTTATTATTCTGCTTTCCTTTTATCATTTTCTTAATTACATTCAAATCTTATCATAGTGTTGTTAAATTCAATTAGGGATAGCATTTTCTTCCACAGCTTGATGGATTGTCCTCATTCTTTGAGTATTTGTTTCCTTTTTAATTAAGTTAGCCATTGCCATGATGTCATAATAATTTTAATTCACTCCGAGGAGAAAACCAACAGCTTTTCCCCCCTGTTCTATTAATTTACCCCCCCCACACACCTTTGTTTATGACTTCTTTATTTTTCTTCTCCCACTGTTACGTGAACCTCTAGCTTTGGAATTAATTAGCAGGGATCTTTCTGAAGTCATGTTTCTCTGTTCCCTGGATGCTGTGGTCCTACCTCACTGCCCTTGTCTCTACCTCCGAGTCTCTTCAGTTGCCCGGGAGGCCCGGCAAATGGAAGCACCCAAATAAAAATGCCAACTTCGGAGCAGCTTTCCCGGAGCTGTGCGTGCTTGAGAACCCCCATCGCTTGTGGATTCTAAGCAGGCAACGCCCTCAGGTGACACCACGTCCAGAAAGCCCGAGCCAAGTGAAGTTGTTTTCCATGTCCTTACTAATAATGATAATAATCAGACCTTATCAGTGCACATCAGCAAAAGAAAAGCATTTCCCATCAAAGCTAAGGTCTGTGCTGAGATTGCCTCCTTCATGTTGCTATTTTCAGTTGGTGTTTTTCTCTGCTTGTAAATTTGTCACGCAAACCAGTTGGACAGCATTCATCCTTTATTAATCAGAAAACGGTATGCAAATTCTCAGAAAGTGCTTATCAAATTTTCTTCTGCAATATGATTGATTTAACGCTGTCTCGTGTAAACATGAAAGCAGAAGACATGACAGGTGTTTGCATATGTTTTCTATTTGATAAAAGTATGACTCCTAAGAGACGCTCAACAAATGGCAAAGGCTGGCACGCACATTATAGTCAAAACACTCATCCACACATTTAAGTCTATCCAGGAAGCCAACTGATTGGAAGATCCCATTCTGTTTATAGTGAAGTTGTCACGTAAACAAGACTTAGAGTCCCCAACATTTTCACCACAGAGGAATTCAAATTTTATGAGTCATCATCCTATGATTTCCCTTCAAGGTCAAATATGTAAGTGCTTTTGTTCATCACCTCCCTTCCTCACTACCCAGAGGAACTTCTTAACAATCAAGAGATGCCCAAATCAAATTTCTATTTGCAGACAATGTATCTGGGCTGTGAACTCTAGACCAAAACTTGAAATAGGGCCTTTTGCCAATTTTGATTGGCATGTCCTTAGAATCTTAGTCATCTGAGAGGAAACTTTATGTTCTGGGTATCTTTATCAGTCACATGTTTCTTCAATTTGATTCTCTTGCTCCCACCCCACATACTTATTCAGTAACTACTAAAACACTTTTCCAAGAGTATCAAGTCATAGTTAAGCCCTTTGAAATAAGCAGATAAATTAAACTGTAATTCAAGTATTGTGATGTTTTGATCAGGAGCACCATGAAAAAAATCACCCTGTAGAGTTTCTAATGTATTCTAAGTTTGAAGGTCCAGCTCCTGTCTGTGTCCTTGGACAAGTCATTTGACCTTCCTCCATCAGTGTGCATTTGCAAATGCTGATGACAATGCTCCCGAGCCATGTGTAGTGGCTAAATATGCAAAATGCCTTCTGTTCCAGAAGGATTATGAGCTCATCCATGGTCTGGGTGCTAGATTTGCTGTGACATGCAAGTGATTTACAAGCCGAGCATTCAGTCCCAGAGGTGACGATTTCTGCCTGCTGCCAAGGATGCAGGAAAATGGAGTTGCCTTTTCTAATTAAAACTGTTGAGTTCTTGAGATTTAGAGTATTGTATTTCTTAGCAGGAGAATCTTGATCTCAGTTTAAAAAAAATACTCTAATGTATCACTTAAACTCACTGAAATCTAGATTCAAAGAAAGAGAGGGTGAGAGATAGAGAAGTTGATTTTTACAAATAAAGTTCATTCAGTCAATATTGTATAAACCAAGATTATTATTTTATCTATTGAAATATTTATATCTTTTTTTGAGTTCTCTAGAATACATTAGAAAAATGGGAAGCCTCAGTGTATTTCAAATAAACTGTAAATGGCTTTCATAAATATTTGATAACAAGCTGATGACAACCCATCTACTTTTTTTTGGCAAAATCTAATGCCTTTGGTAGGAAAAATTTATCTGAGAAAAACTAGCCTGGAATTTCATAAGAGTATCTGTTACCAAGGAGAGCAGAACTACTTCTTTCTTTTTCAGTGACCACCAAAATGTGGCTCTGTCCCTAGGCCAACTCAAAGTCAAACCCAGATAGGAACATCAAATCAAAAGGTTTTGAATGTGGAATGCCTGTGCTTGTTCCAAGTTATAGTTGGGATTAGGAACTAAAACTCTTGTGTGTTCCTGTGGGCATGTGGTTACACAGAGGGAAAAATGTTGTCCTTTATCTTACTAGAACCCAAGGTCAAGTCTATCACATGACTTGCTATACATTTGGGTTCCTCTTTTGGTAAGCATGTACACAAAACACATGGGAGGTCTTCCAGCCGTCCAGAGTTCCAGCTCAAAGAGTGCTGTTCATTTAGCATTTGAAAATTAGTAAAGAGAAGATTAATTGTAGTGAGGGTGTTTCTAATCATGTTTAAACTGCCATTCTTCCTGATACCAATTTTAAAAAAATTGTTCAAAGGCTTAAAACTCAATGTTCCAGAAGAACAGTGGGTGAGATTTCTTCCTAGCCATTCCAGCAAAGTAAAGAAATTAATAACTTTATTGGGTAATAAAAAATAAGTTTTTGGTGTATCGTTATGACACAGATATTTTAAACTATAAATAAAAGATATCCGAGAATATCCCCTTTGGCTTACAAATCTTTAGACATCAATGGGATGTGGAGAGCTAACGTATTCAGTATAATCAAGTCTTGCTGTCTGAGGCTCTGTGTGGTAGGTAGCATTCAGCTCTTTCAAGATGGCCCATCCGTGTAGCTAGATTCAGCTGTGAAAACAAATACTAACATATCATTAATATTTAGCTGTCTGTTTTTCTACGTATGGACTGGCATATTTGGGCGGGGGGGGGGGGTCTTTTCTTTCAGTCGAGGGGAATGTGAATGCATTTGTTAGAGGGTTGAAGGGAACCCTGGCAGCATTCTTCTGAAGAGCCCTGGGAAGTAAGTATACTACTCGTTCTCAGCAGTGAGGCTTGGTCTGAATGGTATCAGGAAGGGACAGGCAGTTGCCGTGACCAGCTGCTGAGTCCCCAAGCAAGGGTTCCCATAGAGTCCTGGTCTCATTGTCTCTCCCCACTCTCTTTCTGTGTTGGGTGCCTTTTTCTTTTTTCTTTTTTGAAAAACTAACCCAAGATCACTCATGCGATGTGTCATTTTACTAACCGACTAATGTACTAACACCCTAACGACTCATCTTTGTTTTTAGTTCTTTTAATTAACAATCGTTCTGTTCACAGTTTTTTAATTTCCTTTCTCCCCCCTTCTCCTCAAAGCACTCAGGCATCGGACACGCTATGGTAAACAAACTACATTGTCTGGTAGATATCATTCTTACTGTCTTTTTTTGGGTTTGCCGTGTGTTGCCCTCCTTCCCCCCAACCCCCCTTTTGTCCTCTTTAGACTTACTTCCTTCTTCTTTTCAATTTTCTTTTGTTGTGAAATTAAATGCAAGCCTTTTTCTTTAAAGAAGAAAAAAAATAGAAGGAATCATAGCTGTCTGTCCTGAAAATAGTAGTTATTCAAGTTTGGTGGGGACAGTCTCTTTTCTCCAATTTTCTTTTGTTTGTTTGTTTGTTTTCCCCCAAAGTTATTTTTTAAAGAAGTTTCTTCACTTAGTTCTATTTTTATTTACCTATTTTGCAGCTCCAAATTACAGTCTAGGGATAACAGAGATTTCTACTGAGGACTTCCTTTTGCCTCTGTCTCCTTCTCTCTCTTCCTGCTTTCTCTGTCTCCTTCCCTGTGCCTTCCTTCCTCTTTCTGTCCCTTTTTATGTGGCTGTGGCTGCCACAGGTGATCTGAGGAGGAAAGTATACTGCTTTCTCTAATGTTCCTCTCCCTTCTTTGACCTCACTCCTCACTTTGGCCAAAGGGAGTGCCACCAATTGTGTTTTTCATACACACTGCATGGCATGGTCCTGTCTTGTGGAAACCGCATCAGAACCTGTCCCTCACTGACCTCTATGTTACTAACAACTGGCAACCAACCATCAACCCAGTTCCACCCTTGTCTTTCTCCCTCCCCATCTTCATCCTCCTCTCATCCTTCATATATTTGGGGGTTGGGTTTGGACTTTTTCTTTTCTTTTTTTTTTTTCTTATTTCTTTTTTCTTCAGTGAGGGAGGTGGTAGGCAGGGGAAGTGTTATCCTTTAGTTTTAAGTGTTTTGTCTCCCCCCCACACCTCCATTTTGCTTTCCTTCGGTTTGTTTAATGCATGCACGTGTGGTGTGAATTTTGATTCTGTTATTTCATCCTTTCCCTCCACCTGCCCTCTCTCTTGTCTCCAGATTATTTCTGCATGGGTGTGCCAATGTACGGTGTGTGCATGCCCTGAGGCCCCATCTTTTCTCTCTGCCTTCTGCTTATGGATGGTGGGTGTATGGGTGCTCATCCCCCCTCCCATTGGCATTATTATTATTATTATTTTGGGTTATCATTGCCTCATCATTCATTTCTTTTTGTTAAAGTTGCTTTTTGAGTTTGGGTCATTTTTCTGTTGGTGGTGGCGATAGGTAAGGGAGGGCAGGGGTTGGTACCCCGGGATGGTCCATAGCATGTATCATTCTGGACATGTTAGAATAGAGACATTCCTCATTCCTACCCTGAATGCATGTTTGTTAGTGTGGTGTGAACCATGAAAGAAACAAATAAAAAAAGAAAAGAAAAAAGGGGAAAAAATCACTAACAACCAAAGACCAACCCCTAACATATACCATTGTTGAATGTCTCCTTCGGTGTTTCTCATTACTACCATAAATAACAATCATAAGGAAAAAAAAGCAATTGCTTTTAGCAGTGAACTGAGACAAATGATATCGTCTAAGGGTGGTTCCATTTTCTAGCCTGACTCAATGAAGTATACAGTGGGTAGAACAAGGTACTCAGCTTAGCCAGTCTAACACGGTGTCCCATTAGCGGCCAGGAAAGACTGTATGCTTGGGACATAGGAAGGCAGACCAGAAAATGGAACTCAACTGCACATACCAAAGTCAAGCCAAATTAGAAAGAAAACCTCACCAAAAATCTTAATGGAGGTCAAACCACATGTAGGGAAGCCATTGAATTTTAATAGGATCGTAAGGTCATTGCTGGGATTTTTTTTCTTGTCCCTATGTCCCACTACCAGGTGACAATCTCTGTGGATGGTATCCTTACCACGACGGGTTACACTCAAGAGGACTACACCATGCTGGGCTCAGATGACTTCTTCTATGTTGGCGGAAGCCCAAGCACCGCAGACTTGCCAGGCTCCCCTGTGAGCAACAACTTCATGGGCTGCCTGAAAGAGGTAAGGCTGACACACGTCCACCAAGTAGGTGGGTGGTATGGCCAATTGGGAATAAAAAAAAGAGATCTCTAGACCAATGAGTGCAAATGGCTGCTAACCTATCTGTGCAATGAATTGCGGTGGATGACCAGACTTTGAACTTTAAAGTAAAGGTCCCATCCTTTGGATCAAGATTGAGATTGCTGAGTGACCTTGGGCTTGCTACTCAACTATTCTGTGGCTCTGCTTCCTCCTCTAACTAATAAAGACCCTTCTTGTTCAGATACTGTGAGATGTAAAAGAACTGTGTACTGCAGATGACATCACAAGGACATACGTGAAGTGTGACTTTGTGCTTTTCACTCACCAAGTAGGGGAGCTATAGTTAGAAGTCACACAGTTTGTATGTCTTATCTGAAATATAGCCTGTGTATTATTTTACCTTTTTTTAATGTTGCAGTCCCCAAACATTTTTTTTTTCTCATTTGCCGAAATAAGGGCAAAAAATTTCGGCATGTAACATTCACGCTCAGAAACATGGGCCTGCCTCTCTCTGTTTTTCTTCCCTGAAAGCTTGTCACTGGAGCAGCGAGAGAGCGGTAGGGCTTTGCCTTTCCTCATTTATTACCCTCGTAGCTGATGGGTCGAGACCTCTGTCTGAGAGCAGAGGCGCTTCAGTCAACTGCAAGTTCAGCCTCGGAGGTCAATTGTTGCGGCAGAAAGAATCAGCCTTGATTGGTGAGAGTTCTTTCGCCGCACTCTGTCATTGAAGCGGTGCACTGGACATTTTCTTTAATCTAAAGTAAGCTTGATTGCCTGAGATATCCATGCCATTTCCCTAGGGAGATTCCTTGAGAGTCTGATGGTGTTACTTCTTCTAGATAAAGATTTCTTGTGACATCTTGTGAGCCTCCCCCTGCGGCATATGCTTTGTTCTTATTGTAGTTATTTGGAGTTTGTTGAACAGCGGGCATGCAGGTAATGATATTGGCCATGGATTTATCAGTGGTACGAGATGATGAAGAGGCATTGCCTTGACTGTACCCGGCACACAGTAGGTGGACAGAGAAGATTTATTGCATACGCTGACTTTTCAGGCAACCACCAAGGGCCTTTAGCTGTGCTGTATTTAACCTTGGTGACTCTTTATAAGCAATGGTTTTTGTGCTCAAAGACTTTATAGTCTGGGAAGGGAAATGAGATCGGTAAGAGAATAATTAGAGCACAGGACCATGTGTTCAGTGCCGCAGACTAAATGCTCCGATTGAGCAGAGGAAATAGATAAGTTTTAGGTGGGAGTCACTTATAGCGAAGAAGTGACATTGGAGCCAACACTTGTTGCAATTAAGCATGTGTGAGTTGAGAGGAAGAGGTGGAAAGAAAGGCATGGCAGAGGAAAGGAAATTCCAGTTACAGCTTTGTATTACTCTTGGTCTGAAGGACAAATGGAGAGGAGACTCCAAACTGCTTCCCTCTCTTTGACAGTGTTTACCTCAGCTTCTGCTGGCTTTGGGGATGCCCCTGTTGTTTCTGGAGACGTTATGTTAGGCACACAGCACTTGCTCACTGGGATTTGCTCCTATTTGAATAGACTAAGGACATACACTATTTAGAGTTTGATGAGCCCTGAGAGACTCTAAAACCTTGCTAAATTCACACTGGTTTGGATTGCACTCTCATCAGAAAAGGATTGAGAGATGGCTCAGCGGTTAAGAGCGTTGCCTGCTCTTCCAAAGGTCCTGAGTTCAATTCCCAGCAACCACACAGTGGCTCACAACCATCTGTAAGGAGGTCTGGTGCCCTCTTCTGGCCTTCAGGCATACACACAGAAAGAATATTGTATACATAATAAATAAATAAATATTTAAAAAAAAGAAAGAAAAGGATTGCAACATTTCTGCCACCAAGGACTTGGCTCAGGAATGCATCAAGGATTGATTGACATGGCACAGTCCTTCATTTTTCTGTGGGGTAACAGCCCTGAACATGGAGTGTCCTGGAGTGGACATAGGGGTCACGTTTCCCCTATATACAGTTACATAAATCATCTCCAAATTATATTTGGAAACAAAGGAACAATTTATTAGCTTCAGTATTTTTATCTGTTAATTAGGAAAGTTAGCTCTGAGCATTTTGGACCATGTAGAAAAATACCATGATACATATGATGACTTTACCCATGAAGATTAAAACAAAATGCACAATATACCTACATATATATAAATATATCTACACACACACACACACACATATACATGCTTGCATACATAAAAACCAAAAGTGGGAGGGGAGAGGCAGGGAAGAAAAGCAGCAGAGAGAAAGATATCTATATATATATCTATATATAGAGAGAGAGAAAGAGAAAGAGAAAGAAAAAGAGAAAGAGAAAGAGAAAGAGAAAGAGTAAGAGAAAGAGAAAGAGAAAGAGAAAGAGAAAGAGAAAGAGAAAGAGAAAGAGAGAGGAGACTAGGTGAAAAACTGGAAACTCTTCAGAAGTCTATTGGATGTCATTAAATAGTTTGCAACTTTGCAGGCCTAGCATGAAGACATACTTTGAGCCCCAGAACTCACATGAAAGATGAAAACCACAGGGCACAGTTTAAGCTTTTAATTCTGGTGCTGAGGAGGTAGAAACGGACGGTGTCTCAAAGCTTGCTGGCACAAAGCCTGCGGTGGTGACCCCCACCTTTAATCCCAGCACTTGGGATGCAGAGGCAGAGGCAGAGGCAGGCAGATCTCTGAGTTTGAGGTCAACCAACAGAGCATGTTCCAAGACAGCCAGGGGTACACAAAGAAACCCTGTCTCAAAAAGACAGACAGACAGAGACAAAAAACAAGTAGCCCCTACAAAAACAAAAACAAAAACAAAAAATGACTTGCTGGCCAGACAGTAAAGCCAAATCTGTGAACTCCAGTTTCACTGAGAGATTGCTGTCTTTAAAATTAAAGTGGACAGTGACTGAGAGAATCATCTGAGGTCAACTTCTAGCTTATACACACACACACACACACACACACACACACACAAGCACACACATGTGCACATATACACACATATTTCATGTATATATGAACACACACATACAAACAAGGTGAAGCAATTGAGAATGACATCTGCATACATCAAAAACACATATCCTCACACACGTGTATTTCTGGAGAACAGAGTTAATATCTTGAGCAACTGCAGTTAGTGGTAAAATGTCCTGGTTTATCGAGCAGTTTAGGACTGTATTTAAGTCTAGACTGTTAGAAAAGGGGTAGCAATAACCCCGAGGGACATGATCTGTGAAACAGAACTTTGCTGGCATCCGCCTCATCTCTGTTGTACATGGGGGTTTTCCTATGGGCCTGTGAGTTCTTCCAGTGTGCTTGAGCTTGAGCACGTACGTGACCTTGAGTCTAATGAAGTCCTATAGAGTTTTCTTTTTCTCTTTAATCATTGCATCATTTTGTCTTTGAGGAAGCCCAGGGAATTCTCTTGTTTTTGACAACTTAGTAAAACAGGAAGAGCTGCCTCCTCTTCTAGACTTTAGCTTCTCGGCAGATGAGTCCTCTCTGATCATTTAACTTCATGACATTCTTTCCTCTTAAGTTCAATGACATCACCCCTTCCCAATCTCCCTGAAGTGAGCACCAGGTATGCACGTGGTGCACAGACATAAACACAGAATACTCAAGTACATTAATTAAATCATTAAAGAAATAAATAAAATTAGTAACCCTGGTTAGGAACACAAACTTGATTGCACTATATGACTTAGAATTAGATACTGTTTTATTTTTTAATAAGTATCAGTTTACCAGTTTGCAATGAGGAGATCCTAAGAGCTATGCTGCATTCTTCTTAAGGACAAGTGAAGTGATGGGCACAAGTCAAACATCATTATGCAATGATATCTTGGAAATCCATTAAGAATTACATATTGGCTTATAGAGCATCTGTGATCAGGTCTACACGAATGTGCTATAGCAAGTCATTTTCAGGGAAAGCCTTTGATTTTGAGGTTTTCCTCATTAAAATTCTCTCATCTTTGTAAAAGGAAGGACAATCCACCCACCCTTCCTCAGTATTTCCCTTGTTACTGTCTTCAGTCTTTTATTGGAGGCTGTCAGTCTCCCTTTGTTAGGATATGAGCTCCTTGAGAAGACATAATCAGCATTTCACAGCAAGTAGAACAATTCCTGGCATCAAAAATTGTGTTCAATCATGAGTATATCTTTCCTCCCTCCCCTCCCCTCCCTCTCTCCTTTCCTTCTTGTCTCATGGATCTCAGGCTGACCTGAAGCTCATTACATAGTCCTCAGTTGGCTCTTTTCTAATGCTCCTGCCTCTGTCTCCCAAGTGCTGGGATTACAGATGTGCATCTTCACATCTTGTGTAGGGGGTGCAATGGATGCCATTCATGTATTTGTGTATGCCGGCAAGGGCTCTAGCAACTCACCTATGTCCTTATCCCAGGAAAGTCTAATTTTTCTTAATAAACAGTCTGTGCTTCTAAAAATTTTATTCAATGGTATGCCTAGAATAAATAAATAAATGAGTTAGCTGCGTGGAGCCCTAATATCTGGTGAGCTTCAGGTCAACACTGTCTTAGTTCAGGCTGCCATAGTGAAACACCTTAGACAGACTAGCTTATTAAAAAAAATAGAAATATTTCAAGTTACGGCCCACCAACATTCTAGCATGGTGTCAGAAGGGTCTTATGAGTCCCACCCTTAACCAAGGAGGTATTTACAGTTCGCAGCTTCTAGGAAAGGGAAAGCCAATTTTCTTTAAGGGTGTGATTGCTGGTGGGGTGACTCAGCTCCTATGAATGACCTCATACTCATTAGTGTATGGGTAGCACAGATTGGACTTGGTGAGTTATAAAGTTATGAAGTCAGGGGGATGTCTATAGGGGAAGTTAGAGAGTAGAGTGAGTAGTGAATATAGTCGAAATAGATTCTATAAAAATCCAAAATAATTAATTTAAAGAAACTTTCATCATATGTTCTTTGGAGAACTATGAATGTTGAGC